GTTTTCTGAGGGATACTCCAATCATACAACTCCCGAGCACGGTAGCAGGACGCACCGGCCAAGGCAGTTTGTAACGGATATCGCCTTCACTTGGCGTGGATGACTCCCACCCATTTTATCTTGTCAACAGCCAACCAGGTTCCAACATGACATTGGGCCTAGTGGCCAAGAAGCAGTAAAACTCGGCTCACATCAGGCTCACAACCACACCTGGGCCTACGGTCTCAGGACAAAACTCTGATTCTGCTTCCGCTCGCGCACGCAAATCTCGATCCTATCTCGCTTAAGACAATCCACTGGTATCGATTCCTTTCTCTAAACGATCCTGGGCGCCCCGGTGTGTCCATCCAGCGGTTCCCCCAAACGCGAAAATTTTTGGGCTGCCGCTGGGTGCCGCCCGCCGCGGCGCGGCGCTACAACTCGCCTTCGCATCGGAAGATTTCGAGCCGAAGTCCGTTTTCTCGTACTGCCGACGTTAACCACGTCTGCTGATGTTGTTTTGGGTCAGAATTTTCTGAGAAGATACCGCGCAGAATTAAGACCCGCGGAAGGTTCCTTGAGATTGAGACGACCCACGGGACTTTCGGTTACGTTACGATTGGAGAATGCGCCATCTCCCGTAACGGTCTCCGATGTACCATCAGCCACGCTTCTTGAGAAAAGACCTGAGACAATTCAGATCGTCTCGCCGAAAAGAGCTTTTCGCGATTTGAACGAAGCTGGCTGTCGATCGTTGCTTGTTGTCGTGAAGCAAACCGCATCCCTGCTCTCTGACACACCAACGCTTAATGCTGTGGATCTGCCGCCACACATTACTGAGAATGAATCCCTTGTGGAGATTATCAACGAATTTCCGAATTTTTTCGCACCGATCACAGAATTACCACCGGATCGAGGTGTTAACCACACTATCCCGTTGGAACCGAATGCACAACCGACTTTCCGACCCCAGTGGCGACTTTCGCCGCTAGAACGAGAGGAAGTAGAGAAGCAAGTCAAAGATTTGCTTGCGAAAGGCTTTATTCGTCCTTCGACGTCGCCTTTCGGCGCCCCGATCCTCTTCGTGACTAAGAAAACCGGAGAGTTACGCATGTGTATTGATTACCAGGCTTTGAACAAGATTACTATCAAGAATCGATACCCGTTGCCCCGGATTGATGATACACTCGATCGTCTTGCTGGTGCATCGATTTTCACGGCCCTTGATTTAGCTTCTGGCTACCACCAGCTGCGGATTACTCCAGAAGATGTTCCTAAGACGGCTTTCACAACCCATCTCGGACACGTCGAGTGGCTTGTATTGCCTTTTGGCCTATCAAACGCCCCTGCAACCTTCCAGAATTTGATGAATCGCATCTTTGCACCGTACTTGAACCGATTTGTCACGGTCTATTTGGATGACATCCTGATATTTTCCAAGACCCCCGAAGAACACGCACGCCATTTAAGGGTGGTGTTAAAGGTCCTTGAGGAAAATCAGTTACATGTCAAGCTTTCCAAGTGCGATTTTTGGAAGAACGAAGTCCAATATCTGGGACATGTCGTGAACGCAGAAGGTATCCGTATGGATCCTAAGAAGGTTGAGATTATACGAAATTGGCCATTGCCAAAGGACATCTCTGAACTTCGATCTTTCGTTGGCCTTGCGAACTATTTCCGGCGATTTATCGCTGGTTTTAGCTCCCTTGCTGCACCCCTGACCGATCTCTTCAGTGCGAAAAGATTACCAGATGAATGGCCTGAACAAGCCATACGAGCCTTTGAAACGCTCAAAGCTCGACTATCGAACGACGTTTTGTTGAATTACCCGGATTTTACGAAGCCTTTCGAAGTGATCTCAGATGCTTCGCTGAACGGAACTGGCGCAGTACTCCTGCAAAATGACCGCCCGGTCGCCTTTACCAGTAAGAAATTTTCCCCTGATGAACGGAATTACAGTACGGGTGAACAGGAGCTACTTGGGGTAATCAACGCCTTGCGAGAATGGCGATGCTATTTACAGAGTTCCATTCCTTTTAACCTCGTCACCGACCACCATCCACTGATCTTTCTTAAGACTCAGTCGACTGTAAGCCGCAGACAAGCCCGTTGGCTTGAGTTCCTGGCTCAATTTAATTTTGAGTGGATTTACCGACCAGGACGATTGAACGTGGTCGCCGAAGATTTGTCACGCCATCCCTCCTTGGCATCTGTCGTGGTATTCAATGCGGTTACCACACGTCGCTCTCAGGGACTTACGCTGGACCCACTCATCCAACGTATTGCCGATGCTACAAAAAGAGACGCTCATTTCCAGACTCCAGATCATACTCGTTTCTTTCTGACGAATCCTCTCGGATTCTTTCAGATAGAAAGGGGGGAGTGCGAGTACCGCATCGTGGTGCCCAATGACCCCGCCTTGAAACGAGAGATTATTGAACGAAGCCACACGAATATCTTATCCGGACACCCTGGACGAGATCGAACCATTGATTTGGTAGAACGGAATTTCTGGTGGCCTACGTTGAAAGCTGACGTTGCAGACTTTGTCGCATGTTGCGATCTTTGTCAACGGAATAAAGCTTCATCAGGCAAACCGCTGGGTCTTTCTCGACCTCTGCCGATTCCTGAACGACCTTGGAGCAGCGTCTCAATGGACTTTGTACTCGGATTGCCCTCGACTAGAAAAGGTTACAACTCCCTTGTGGTGTTTGTGGACCGACTGACTAAGATGGTGCATGTACGACCATGCAAGAAAGACATAGACGCAGAAGAAACTGCAGATTTATTCTTTGACACCGTGGTACGGCTTCACGGTTTACCAGACACCATCGTCTCAGATCGTGACACCAAGTTTACTGGTGCTTTCTGGACCTCTCTTATGAAGAGGCTAGAGGTGAAGCAAGCGATGAGTACTGCTTTCCATCCTTAGACTGACTCAGTCATGGTTTAACCCAAGCAGACACTCTCCAGCATATTGAACTCCTCTCACCGTCTACCCATCGTCTATTCTTCGTCTACAATAGATGAATCGACTATAGACGACATGTATAGACGACTCGACTTTAGACGAACTATTGTAGATGACTCGTCTAATAGACGGGTCTTCAGGATATAGACGACCGAAAAAAATACAGACGGATGGTCAGGCAGAACGAGTTAATCGCGTCCTTGGAGACATGTTGAGAAACTACTGTGATCAGGAACCTTCACGGTGGGAGACATACCTTGGACCTGCTGAATTTGCGATTAATAATTCGAAGAATCGTTCGACAGGAGTTAGTCCATTCTTCCTGAACTATGGCTATCATCCTAAGACCCCTGTACAACTCGAACTCGGTGATGCAGTTCCCGTTGCTAAGGGTGCATTTCCAGTGCGGATTAAGGCCAGGGATTAGGGCACGGAAGTCCTTGGTACGAGCTTACCACATAGTTTCGTTCCATAAGGAAACCAAAGGTTGAAAAGGCGAGGTAAGTTTGCCAACAACTTAGCCGTTTGAGCAAGTATCGATGGAGGACAGAGGGTTAATCCCTGGCCTTAATCCGCACTGGAAATACACCCTAAGGGTTATGTCGATACGTATGCCAAGAGACTTGCTGCTGCTAAATCTGCTTTGATGGCTGCGCAAGATCGAATGACTAAGCAAGAGAATAAAGGACGACGTGATGTGTCGCTTACTGAAGGACAACAAGTCTTACTCAGTACGAAGAATTTGACCCTCCAGAAAGGTTCAAAGAAGCTGATGCCTAGATGGATTGGACCTTTCCCGATTGAGAAGATGATCAATCCTGCTGCTGCTAGATTGACCCTTCCAGAGGAATATCGTTTCCATAACGTGTTCCATGTATCGATGTTACGGCCTTATCGATCTGATGGCACTGTACAACCTCCTCGACCTACAGTCGGAATTGAACCTGAAGGTCATACCTCTGTATGGACACCTGAACGCATCCTAGATCATGATCAACGAAAGCTCCGAAACCGAACCCTGACACGGTACCTCGTGAAATGGGTCGGTCACGGGCATGAGAATAACAGTTGGATTGAGGAACCTGCTTTCCCCGACAGATCTCTTATTGATGCCTATTGGACTGTGCACCGCGTGGACGCAGGCGTCTAGGAAGGGGGGCAGATGTTGTAGCGCCTTATAGTGTCACAGAGCCAATTCGCAAAACGATGAAGACGTGATTTGATTAAGACTGATCTATGAACAGTCTATGAATACGTTAAGATTAATAAGTGTTTCCTAATTAAGGATTGACACTCTTTCAGGGTTCCTACCCTAACAGAACAGACACCTCGGTCTAACCAGCCGTCAGGTGGTCCGAAGGGACACTCCACGACAGAAGTCGTTGCGGCCTCCTAAGCAACGAGTATTATATATACTCGGGAGGGAGCCTGGGATGGATGATTAATATATTTATATATTAACAAAGAGACAGAGTTTAATTACTCTTTCCTTAGACAAGAGCCCAGACCTTGGCGGAGCGAATCCGTCCTGTGACTTTCGGTTCTTGCTTATATTACGCGCTAACATACTTAAAAGTTAGTGTTCAGTCAAGTAGAAACACCCTGTTACGCCGGACGTTCAAAGGTAACACAGTCGCAACCCTGGCAACCATGTCCTCCACGACCCTGGCAACCATGTCCTCCTCAGCTTGCGATGCCGAAGGCCTCACGCTTCACGGTTTGATTGGCGTTTCCATCCATGACATTACCTAACTACCAACCTGTCACATCACACATTCACAAATGCAGCAAGAGTCTACGTCAAAACCTCAGCAACATCTGTCCAAATTACTCGACCAACTGCTTTAGTAAAGTTATAAGGCTCAATTTACTAAAAGCCCACCCTCCCTTCCACCCTCCCACCCTTCCCCCATCCATCCATCCATCCTACTCGCGGCTCAGCTCTCTCAAACATACACCACAAGAGTGAGTACCAAGGTATTGGACACATATACGTTCCCAATATGGATATCATCATTGATCCTGCAGGGTGTCGTGCATATTATCATTATCAGGTGCTGATCACCTCTGTACAGGTCGCCTCCAAGCCACAGATGAGGCAGCGGCGTGCCTTGCCCCTCAGGCAGAGCTCCCGATAGCATCCCCGGCACACACACAGATGCACCTTATGGTTGTGCAGGAAGCCCATTGTTGCCTCGCTCTCCATGCACACCGCACAGCGACCCTGGAGGCCGTCGCTGCTGCGGTGCTTCCGTGGCTGTCGCCGATTCCCCGCCTCCGCCTCCGACCTGCCTTGGCCACCGCCGGCAGCGGCCGTCCCTTGGTGCCACCTTGGGCTGCCTCCGAGTGGGTGATCTGCAGAGCTCTGGGCTCCGGAGCATGCTGCTTCAGTAACAGCACACAGGCCAACAGCAGCTATCATTCCCGCGGCAGCTGCGAGCGCGACGCGCATAACGACCTGGAGGAAGGCCATCTCAATCCGCTGCATGTAGGTAGGTAGGTGCGTAGGTAGGCAGGTAGTAGGTAGGTAGATAGGTAGGTAGGTAGGTAGGTGGGTGAGAGGAAGGCAGAATGCTCTGTTATCGTGAATTAAGCTAATTAAGCTGTTAGCAGTGCGTTTAAGGAATTTTCGAGGCCCCGGGCGTGAAGCGCCATTCGGGGGGCCGAGCCCCCCGGGTTCACTGCTGTCAGTCAGTCAGTCAGTCAGTGGCTTACATATCTCGCCCCGCAAAAAAAAGCGTTTGAATGCTATATCCATTCTATATCGAAATGCCAAAGGAGAGGTTCTAGATAAATCGGAGCGCGAAGATAGCTTTCCTGTAAGTGGCTGCACCGGGGCCGAGCCCCTTTTCGGCTTTGGAAAGCCGCCCCCCTAGTTAATGATAATAATAATAAATAATAATAGTAAGTGTGTTAATGATAATATTAATAAATAATAGTAATAAGTGTGTTAAGGGGCAGGGTTGACGAGACTATTATTTTCCCGCTTCCCCTGCTGGCCATTGCACCTCCCACCCGCAACCATGTGCAACCATGTGCATAAGGGCTTGCTTTGGGCCTTTTTTGCGATGTTCATGTGGGTTTATGTATGTGGCATACCTGCTGCCTTTCTTTCTGCAGCTCCAACAAGTTGTTTGTTAACTTGCGTTGCTTATCACGTGTCCAAAGCGATCAGATAGGCGGCTGCAGTGGTGTTGAATAGGTTGGCTCAGCAGGCATACATGACAGCACAAGCAAGGTAACGCAATAAGCTACGAAGCTAACAAGATTATTAGCGTAGCATGTATCTTTGGCTGGTTGAACTTTGCCTTGCCAAGGTGCCTAAATAGCTGAATATATAGTCACTGAGAAGCAGTGCCTCGTTGAAGGCACAATGCGCGTGCCTTATCTCCGTGATTCCCTAAACTTTCTGTTGTCTACGTATACTAAAGGAATGTTTACCCTTTTTAAACAATCAGCAAAGCAGCAACAGCAGGTACGATGAATGCATGGGGCTCGAACGGCTCCCCGGTTGACAAAGGAAGTCCTCTGGACGGATGCATGAGCCCGCGCGGCCGCCCAAATACCACCGCCCACTGCCCGCCGTTAATACGCTTGCCACCCAGGCAAAGCCCGGCCCCAAATCGCCAACGTATATTAATTTATGCAGTATTGAGCGTTCCCGAGGATGGATTATCCTTACTGATACTGCTTAAGCTGCTTATTACGTTAATGGGAGATGCTGATGTGATATTAATATTTTTTCTGGATTACTGTAATATAAAGCCGGGGGCAGTTTGAGCGTGTGTTGGAACGTTGAGAGGCATCGGAACGTTGAGAGCGTTAGTTGGGATGTAGGGTAATGAAGAGACGCTTTCGTTGGTGCGCGGCTCTCCGTATATACAGCAAAAGTCGCTTCAGCAGCAACCATGTTGACTCACTCACTCACCCGCCGGCCCGCCGGCCCGCAACAGGGACAGCTATTTGAGAGGCAGTCAGCTAGATCGAACACATCTTGTAATTGGTCGAGTGCGCATGCATGGATTTTCTGGTCGCTTTAATAGTGTTCGAAAGGGAATTCGACGAACGCATACTTGTGTGTGTTACATGGTTGGGGGTGCGTGACCCCATACCTGTAAAACTACCCATACGAACCGGGGCAATACTTCAACGCCTAAAATCCACGGAGAACAGGAAACACCGCACATCAGCCCAGATTAGCGTCCAAAAAGGGTAACTGAGTTTCGGTGAGCCCACTGGTTCCCATTTCATGGCCTCCAACATGCTCTGATGGTCGAATCCCTCTTCAGCACGAATATCATTATAGGCTGGGCATTCCAATAACACGTGTTTTCCATCCTTGATCCGGCTATTAGTACCACAGCAGCGGCAAAACCGCTGCTCCCTGGGGACATGGTACTTGCCCCTTCGTGCTCTGTTTGCCTCCAGAGCCCAGCAACATAAACGAAACTGCATTAGCTTACGACGTGCTAAACGAGCATGTGTTGGCCACCTGACGGCTGCGGCTCCCGAAAAGGGCAGCCCCATCCAGTGCTTATACTTCGCCATTTGCACTCCCCGGTTGCTTCACATCTGATGGGTGTAACACCAGGCAAAGAGTACTCAGGGAGATGCCAGGGGAGCTGATCCCGCTTACATTCCTCCCCCCCTCGAGCGAACATCCTCGGGCGCCCCCGGGCATATCCCGTAGGATTTTGGTTGTTTGAGATCCCGTAGGATTGTGTATTTGTTTTGTTATTGTGACATTTCGTCAGTCCCCGTCCGAGATGGAGCCTCCATCATGGAGGACTTTGATTTTACTCAGCTGGTAGAATTCTCCATCTTTGGGGTAAGAGTATGCTGCATCATGCCTGGTGTGCGATATGTTCGCAACAGGATTCGGTCCGGGGAGCTCCCACCTCCTAGCAATTCGCACCAATGTCACACCAGGCAAAGAGTACTCAGGGAGATGCCAGGGGAGCTGATCCCGCTTACAATGGGTACTCCTCTACGTATTCGTTTTCTAGGGTTTTTCTGTTTTCTGACTGACTGACTGTTTTCTGACGTTGGCAAAATTAATTTGAATCCATACGGAGAGGATGATAATGAGGAGGTTGCGACTGACCCAGAGATTGAAGTACTGGTACAAGCAACATACCCCGCTAGTGACGATGAGGCTTTTAGTGACAGTGACTACGAGACCGACGAAGAACGAGATACCGATGAGTCGTGCGTGGATGAGGATTTTGATGCGGAGGAGGAGGACGAGAAAGAGGAGCAGAAGGGATGGGCGGCCGCGGCGGCCAAGGCGCTTGGCTTTCGCTGAGTGTGCCGTGTCCCCGAGTGTAGTGCACTCGGGGAATGACTTGGTCATGGACGGGTTTTCCAGTCATGGATTCGGTCATGTATGTGGTCATGGATCCGGTCATAGTTTGTCATTAAGTCATGGATCTGGTCATGTATGTGGTCATGGATCCGGTCATAATTTAGAAGAGTATACAGCTTTGTCCAACTAGTCAGCGTGACAGGCTGTACTTGGACCCCCAAACCGGCTTGCTGTTGATAACGTCTTGCATGTTGATACGCCTCCTGCGGACTTGTCCCCCAGTAGGGTCTGCAGATTGCATACAGATTACGTTCGGGTCTTATTCAAGGTGTCCCGTGTCCCAAACTTCGTCTTGGAAGACGCCCATCTCCTTGCGCTTAAGCGCAAGCTAGTAATAGCCCGACGACCGTTTGTTATCTCTTCCAGAATGGCATCCGATGGTGCCCTGGGTGTGGATGTGCATGGGCCGGACAAGGTAAGAACGGGGTTGGACTGCGTCTGACTGAAGAACTGGCACCAATGGTGCACGTTTCTCACATTTACACCAAGTCGCGTTCCATGCCTGTTCTATTCCCAATGGTGTTAACCTTCTGCAGAAGCGTCAAAAGCTGGCAAAATTGACGGGGTTGGGCTTCACCAGGGACATGGCCGAAGTCATCGTGGAAACGCTTGGGATGGACCCCATCGGGCAGTCGGCCGATGCCGGAGCAGGACTTCCTTGTGTTTGAGTTTGGTTAGCTATGGGACGCGACTTATAAGCAGAACTTCCTTGTGTTTGAGTTTGGTTTGCTATGGGACGCGACTTGCAAGCAGGACTTCCTTGTGTTTGAGTTTGGTTAGCTATGGGACGCGACTTATAAGCAGGACTTCCTTGTGTTTGAGTTTGGTTAGCTATGGGAAGCGACTTGCAAGCAGGACTTCCTTGTGTTTGTTTGAGTTTCCATGTAAGCAACTATGGAGAACTAAACCATCCATCCTTGGCCTGTTTTGCAGTCCTGTCAGTATTCCAAGTTCTGCACCTGCAGCCTCATTTTACAGCAGAACACCCAATTCTAATCCTCCAACTGTGTTCCCAATCCTATGGCAGCGACCTCATCCTAAACTTGCGAAAGCCTGCAATCCCCGTCCTGTCGACCAGGGTCCCATCCCCATCCCTGGCCAGGGCTCCCAATCCCCTCCTTGGTCAAGGTTGCAATCCCCATCCCTCAGACAGGGATCCCATCCCCATCCTCACCCCCGACAGCAATCCCCATCCCAAAAGTAGTGTAGCACGCCTAATCCCTAATCCTCGCCCTGGGCCCCACATCCCATCCTGACGTCGTCAACCCTATTCCCCATCCCGCCTGACCAGTACCTGCCCCCAATCCCCCATCTCTGCAACCCTCTGAGACAGCTTTCTGGAGAGATTGTGGTGTGTGCGCGTTGCGACATTCCCCAAACCCGGCATTTATACGAACTAAACTTTAACTCATGGGGGGGTTCTGAGGGGGCCGGAGGCCCCCTTAGCGCCTTACAGATTAGGAATAATTTATTCCCGCGACTTAAAACGTATTCCTCCGTTCGGACTGGAAAATTGATGGGCAAAAATAAAAACAAATAACTGATCTAGTTTCCTTGTTGGCTTGCCCACATAAAAGGTGGTTGGCTTGCCCTAGATGTTGGATGAAATGGACGAGCATGCTCGGACTGAGACACAATTACTCTTTGCGCAATCCGGAAGGAACGTCGTAAAACGAGGCGCTGCGTTCGGGGCCTTGGTGCGGTGTTATTGAATATTAGAAAAAACATGGTAAAATGCAAAGCGCAGAAATCCGGAAGATGTGCAGTTTGAAGAAGTGGCCGAGCATAAGGCGGTTACAAAAGTACTTATGACGCAAAACTACCAGACATATGGGATGTGATACCCGGAAAATGGCAAAGCGAAGCGTCAAGTAAAAATAAGAAATTATTATGAAGGACAAGTAATAATGAACGTTGTATTATACGAACGTTGTACATAAAGTGAAGCGTCAAGAGGAGGGAGAGGGAAGAGAGGAATCATGGTAAATTGCTAAGTGCAGATCAGCAGTGTGAAGTAGTGGCCGAGCAAAGGACGGTTACATGCAGCAAGTCTCAACACTATTTCACACGGTGGAGCAACTCCTCACCGTCACACTGCTAAAACGTAACCCGCCATATTTAAACGTGGTTTACACATCCATAATTCTACAATTTGTTCCTATTAACCGTGCCTAGCCATCATGCAGCAAGTCTCAACACTAACTCACACGTTGCAGGAACTCACAACAAATTTACGGCAAGAGACGGAAGCGGAAGACGAAATACGAAAGCAAACGACAAATAGGGGGGTCCTTGTGAAGCAGCTGCCCGCGTTTCCAAAGCCCGTATGGTGTTGGATTGTAAGGTGCCCAAGTACGTTTGCGAGGAAGAGAATGTGGCCAGGCTGGAGAGGAAAGTGCAGTGGCATATTGGAATGTGAGATTAGCGTAAGCGAGTTACAGGGCGTTTTATTGCACGGGCGAATTTACGTGCAAATCTTTCACCGTAGCATCAGTCCTCAGTTCACTTCTTGGAACGAACATCAGCATAGGTCCAAGCCCTCTCGCTTGGAGGGATATGCAAACAAACATCCTGATAGGGGTAAACTCGCAGGCTACCGAGCATTCAACCGAGCACATGCATGCTTAGTTGAATGGTGAGATGCGACCCCCCCTCCATTTCGTGCTCGGCAAGCCTGCCACCGTGTACCGGATATGTTGGCGATGTTACAGAACGCTGCACCTTGGTTTCTGTGCGCATTGCGTACGATGCTCGACCCCGCCGACCAAAACTACACGTGCCCAACTGAAGACATTCCCGGTGGTTGTGCAGCAGCTCTTGAGGCTGTTGCTGGCTGAAATCCATCCTGAACTGTTGCAACACGGCTAACGCGGGCACGTCCCTATGCACAGCAAATAGCTGTTCCAAGCCAACAGCGGTGTCCATGTCACCGACAAGGCTCTAAACGTCTTATCTGTTCTTATGTTTAATTAAGTTTGTGTATGTTATACTTTGCGCAACTTTGTAATTTGACTTTACTCTGAACAAGGTGCTGCATACAACTGCCTCTTCGCCAGCGCTTCATCTTCCGCGGCAGTTTCACGAGCCCAGAGTTGCAAGCTACGACGTTGGCTTTCGGTGCTTTAGTTACTGCAAAGCATCCACGCAATAGTCCAGCCTGCATGCCGCGTGCGGCTATGGCCAACATGCCCACCTGCGCAACGCGCTGGCGCACCTGGTCCTTTTCCGCCAAGAAAATATCTTATTTTAGGCGTAGCCAAAAATGTGGTTTGAAGAGGGGCGTCAGAGCGGCGTCGTACGGTGCGGTTAGTTTGTTGTTATTTTGAACTGCTGTTTGCTCGGTGGTGTTTCGTCTTGTCGAATTATCTTCCGGGTGATCTCGGACTCGGCTGCTGGTTGATACGAGCTCTCTTTACCAGAACAGCTGCTAGCTGCCGCTGTTATTGTCCGTTGGTCAGCGGTGTGGCTTTGACGACCTTTCTTTAGATAGTTAATCGGCTACCAAATTATCAAGGGCTTGGCACACAAGGGTTTATCTTTTGAACTCACAAGTCGCTAGTTCCCGCATAGCAAAGCTGCTTGGCGCCTGCAAAGAAACATGGCGCAACAGTTGATGAGGACAGCAACCCAGCAAACAAACAAACAGCTAGCAGGAGATGTTTGGGGACAGGAACCCCCATGGACCATTGTCATCACGGCCAGAGGACAGCAAAAGCAAGCAAACAGGTGGCGCAGCACTACAAGACAGCATCCGAGGCGCAGCAGACCCAGAAGCAGCTCAACGACATGTCACAGCTACTGCCCTACAAGGAGGTCATCCGCCTGGCAAGGGAGGGGGACCCGCGCAAGACCTCCCTCGTCGCCTGCCTCGCTTCTCTCTCCTCCGAGCAGCGAGCGTACCTGGGCGCGGCGCTTACAGGACAGACTCAGTCGGCCAGCCGGTCCGGATGCAAGCGGTCCTTCGCCGCCACGTTGGCCCCCGGGGGGGGGGGCCCCCCAAGAGGGCCCCGAGGACGTCACGTGCCTAATCTGCAACCAGCGGGGCCACTGCTTTCAAAACTGCCCACAACTCCAGGCCATACCCCGGGACCAGCAGCAGGCAGCGGTCGACAGGGCTCGGGCGCGCTTGCGGGCAGGCGCCCGTGGGGCACCGGCTTCAGCATAGGTCGCGGAGGTGCCGGCCGCCGCTTGCCCCCTCCCTGGAACGCCACCGGAGCGGCCGGGGTCTGGGGGCATACCCATCAAGGCGGCCGGCGCCCAACAACAAGCGGACGTCGCTGCCCAACGTGAGTTCCATAAGGGGCAACTTGTGCACCCCGTCCCCGTTGGGCCTTGCTTGCGTGTCGTGAAGAGGCCGAGTTATAGTGCGGCGTGCCTTGCTTAGTGCGCCTGTCAGTGTTTTGGGGAGGGACTGCTCCGTGTTGCCCTGTGTTGGGTCGTACCTGCCTTGTTCGCGAGCCGGCGTTGGAGCTGCCCTCCCCATCGGGCGATAGACGGGGCGCGCACCGCGATATCGGCCCCCTCCTCGGGGATAAGGAGGCGTCGTGCTGACGTTTAGCCCAGCTGGAGGGCCCCCACACGCTGCGGGTTAGAGCTGCCCTCCCCGTCGGGCGATAGATGGGGCGCGCACCGTGATATCGGCCCCCTCCTCGGGGATAAGGAGGCGTCGTGCTGACGTTTAGCCCAGTTGGAGGGCCCCCACACGCTGCGGGTTAGAGCTGCCCTCCCCGTCGGGCGATAGACGGGGCGCGCACCGTGATATCGGCCCCCTCCTCGGGGATAAGGAGGCGTTTTGCTGACGTTTAGCCCAGTTGGAGGGCCCCCACACGCTGCGGGTTAGAGCTGCCCTCCCCATCGGGCGATAGACGGGGCGCGCACCGCGATATCGGCCCCCTCCTCGGGGATAAGGAGGCGTCGTGCTGACGTTTAGCCCAGTTGGAGGGCCCCCACACGCTGCGGGTTAGAGCTGCCCTCCCCGTCGGGCGATAGACGGGGCGCGCACCGCGATATCGGCCCCCTCCTCGGGGATAAGGAGGCGTTTTGCTGACGTTTAGCCCAGTTGGAGGGCCCCCACACGCTGCGGGTTAGAGCTGCCCTCCCCGTCGGGCGATAGACGGGGCGCACGCAGCGATATCTGCCCCCTCCTCGGGGATAAGGAGGCATCTTGGTGGCGTTTGTGTTTTGGCCAATCTGGACTTGGTGAGGGGGGAATTCTTGAGGGAGGAATCGCCCCAGGCGCCTACCCCGGCGGTTGGTACTGCTGCACCACTTGCTTGCTTGCGGTGGCGGGGATCGGATCAGTGGCCCTTGGGAGTGTTACGGAGGAACTGGCACAGCTGGCTGTGGCGTTACACGGCAGCGCGGTCGCAGACAGCTCATCGGTCACCTACGAGTCGAGGCGGCGACGGTGCAGGGCAAATGCGGAGCTGCGGAGGGCGACGGAGTTCACCCAGGACGCCTGCTGGCTGGTGTTGGGGTTTTTCGGGATGCTCCGGAGGAGCGAGTTGGCGGCCCTGACAGTGGGCTGCGTTGAGGAGTTGCCGGGAGGGGGTGTAGGGCTGCAGATCGTACGTAGCAAGACGGACCAGAAGGGAGCGGGGACGTTGGTGTGCCTGGCAGCACTCACCCAGAGCGGCATCCCCATTGCTCGCATACAGCGGCACCTGGAGTGCGTGCGGACGGCCGAGGGTCACTCCCCGCTCTTCGTACGGGGAATCACTGGGCCGGGTAAGCAGGGCACGGTGTGGCGGCGCGGGGATTTCACTAGTAGGCTGCATGTGTTGCTGGGTGAGTTGCAGGGGTACGAGCCGGAGTTGAAGCTAGATCTCGCTAGGATATCGGCCCACAGCTTGCGCAAGGGCGGGGCCACCGCGGCTGCCAATGCTGGGGTGGGTCTGGAGGAGATTAAGGCGCACGGGCGGTGGAGGTCTGATGCGGTGCTGGTCTATATCCGCCGGTCCGTTGCGGTGAGGCGGACAGTGGTGGAGTGAATGTGACGCGACTGGGTGAGGGGGGATGTTTCGCTGGGTTAGGCATGGGGCCAAAGTAACCCAAGCGAGGCCGTCGGCTGCCTGCTGGTTACCAATGCGGAAGAGCACGGTAGCCCGGAAGGGCCGCACGAAGTAGCATGCGGGCTCTGGCAGGCAGGCTGGGCGTCTCTTCTCCCCAACCATATGTCCACGTCCCCGGTGCCTTGTTCGTATTAGTTGTACTGTAACGAACGCGTTTTGGGTTTCTCGTCCCGGTTCTTGGTCTGGCTAGCTGCTCAGCCCGGATTCAAAATCTTATTTTAGGCGTAGCCGAAAATGTGGTTTGAAGAGGGGCGTCAGAGCGGCGTCGTACGGTGCGGTTAGTTTGTTGTTATTTTGAACTGCTGTTTGCTCGGTGGTGTTTCGTCTTGTCGAATTATCTTCCGGGTGATCTCGGACTCGGCTGCTGGTTGATACGAGCTCTCTTTACCAGAACAGCTGCTAGCTGCCGCTGTTATTGTCCGTTGGTCAGCGGTGTGGTTTTGACGACCTTTCTTTCCCACCCGCCCACCCTTTCGAACTTTGGTTTCCTGGCTTGTGAGAGGCCAGCTTTTAGTTTAGAGGCACGGGGGATGTTTCGCTGGGTTAGGCGTGGGGCCAAAGTAACCCAAGCGAGGCCGTCGGCTGCCTGCTGGTTACCAATGCGGAAGAGCACGGTAGCCTGGAAGGGCCGCACTAAGTAGCATGCGGGCTCTGGCAGGCAGGCTGGGCGTCTCTTCTCCCCAACCATATGTCCACGTCCCCGGTGCCTTGTTCGTATTAGTTGTACTGTAACGAACGCGTTTTGGGTTTCTCGTCCCGGTTCTTGGTCTGGCTAGCTGCTCAGCCCGGATTCAAATTATATACACTTGTACAGGCGCATTTTGAGAATCGCACGCGCGCATCTGCGCGGCAAAATTCGCTCCTGACTTTTAGGACGATGTACGAACACTTTATTCGCGAAGTACGACCGGACACATTTGTGCGAGAGGCTGCTTAAAAACTAAGACACGTAAATTATAATAACACATGGCCGATAGCCTGCAACTGATGTACGGCCATCTTCAGCTATGTTATATATGTAATGTAATGTAATGT